AACGCAAGAGCCAGTCCATGTGAGATACGTGTGACAAGTATGTCACCACTAGTGTTATTCTTAAGCCGGTCATCCTTAAGATAAACAGCCATTGGTGGTAACTGAAACAAATCTTGTGAATTCAATAAGAAGTGGAAACGGAACACCCTTGGTTTTGTTCTCCTATAAGAGTTCATTAATTGCTTCCATATTTGGTATTTCACTGGCAGACATTGCTTATACCAGTGAATGAAACAGATTCACATGGAGCCGTTTAGTGACGTGCCAAATTACCTCTTTTTTTCTGGTCGAACCTTCTCAGTCATCTACAAATGCTAACTTGGGAAAGGGGCCATTGTATATCTAAAATTGGCTGTTTCCAAAACATAGAGAAACAAATAAACAATAGTGAAACTACAGTTTTGTATGCTTTGTAAGTGTCTTACGCTTAGCCTGAAATAAAGGAGGGAGTACTGAAATTGTTCTTAGTTGAGAAAGATTAAACCAGAGCGGTCTTCATCCATATGCACCATACTGTCTCGAGTGGAAGTAGGAGTTGAAACAAATCTGAATTCTATCCTTTATCGTGTGTGGTTTTGTCAAGAAATCTCCGCGTTTACATGTCTAAGCCGTCCGAGACGTTTGGAGTTATACCAGCAATATGGAAATGTGACACAGTATGCACAAATGGACTGAAATGCGAACTTCAGCGCTTTTCAACGCAGTCCCGAGTCCGCTCGACGTGAGTGAGCTTTCAAAACTTGTCTTCTACTCTTTGGCATTTATCATTTTTTACGTTTTTCAACATATATCGACCTTTACAGTTTACTGGACAAATCTCATCAAAATCGATTCAGAGTTCAGTGGGCGGAAAAATTCCTAATCACTGAATACTCATATGTGCAGACTTTTCCACTGCTAGGCCTGGTTAAAAACTTAGAAACCAGATATTCTGCGCTGGTTTTGCAGTGGGTGGTTCGGCGAACACCGCTTCGTGTCTCGAGTAAAAATATCACGTCGAACTTCCGTTAAGGTCTCCACATTCGCTCGACCCACACACGGGCATGTGCGTATACACACGAAGTACAAAATAGTCTTTGGAACTTCCTGCAATGTTAGGACTAATCCTATCCCGTATGAAGTGTACGGCAGCAAGCCTTCATGCCCCTAATGAACCCACAAGAGAATTCTTTAAACAGCTGCTTGGCCCATGTATCTACTGATACTTTTGCCTTTTCCTGGTAGACTGCATTGACACGGTGAACACTTTTCACGTAACGATCGTTTGTGTGCCCTATCTACACAACTGCACCGTATGTAACAAAAATAGGAACATACGTCTAGAGATATCTATTTGTAGACATCAACCTTCGGCCGGAAAATTCATTGTGTCATTTCTGGACGTAAGCCTGATTGACCAGATGCGCTAAAGGGATCTTAATACTAGAAGTACAATTTGCTGTAGAAAATCTACTTTTATAGCATATCTATTTCCTGAAGGAAGATGGCTTATTACCAAGGTGGCTTGGAACAGTCTCCAGTATATGACTCCTTTGTTTAAAATTTCGGTGACCGCTGTCAGTGTGTTTTCTGGTTCAACTTTACCAGAAAGAAACCTACTGGCTTTCGCAATTTCATGCGGGTAAACAAAACGCCACGTGCATTTCCTGTGAGAAATCTTCAAAAATAAAGCAATTTGTTAACTAGCGGTATTTGGCCAAACCNCTTTAGAATTCCTAACCGAAAACTATACTTACAATTCTGTTGAAGACTCGTTTTCTGTACTGGTGGTAGTTTCTCCAGCAAGCGCCAAAGAAACCAGGCTAATGGGTTTTATCCACAAATCCCTCATAACAGATTTTACGTTATTCTCTCATAGGGGCACGACATTCATCACCTAGATGGTTGACAAAACCACATTTTGTCTCCTTGTTCAAATCCTGCTATCGTATAATCAAACGTAGTGCTCAAAAGCTAATTTAGCATTTAAGAACCTATAGTGTGCGTAGATTAAAAATAGCATAGTAGGGAGTTTAAGTTTGAAAAAAATATTCTTATGTTTGCAGACATGTCATTATGCGCCTAATACCTGTAAGTAGATAAGAAGAAAAATGGTTTCTTCTCTACACAGCTTCATGCGGCACACTTAGTTAGCGGCCCTAAGCTTTAATGAAAGTGGTCAATTGTCCCAGAGATGCTTTACTAAAAGTACATTAAGTTTATTTACAAATGCTTATGATGAGTTACTTCCCCTGGTTTGCCCGCTGGAGAACGACCAACACGGTACTGCAAAACGGCAGAATGTATAGCAGGCCAACAGGAGGCGAGTGTACGCAAAGTCAGAAGGTCATAATTTTGTGTTTCACTTTGGACCAGAAGACTTCAGAAACTGATTGGATCTTTTCCAGATAAGCCCCGGCAAAAATTAACTCCCGCCACCCAAAAAAAGATTAAAAAAAGACGATGTGAAATTTGTACTTTTAGTCTTTATTGAAGAGGGTGAAATTGGGACATGTCATAAATAATTTACATGAAAAGGTACGTTTTCCGGTACCTTTGCCTCCAAACGAACCACACAAGTAGCTGTCCACTGAAGATCGTTTCAATTTCTTGGTATGATGCCCACATGTCGGAGATGATTGAGCCGGGAGCGATGCAGACCTGGATCGTGTCCATCAAAGTCGCCGCAGTTCTATCTGGCACTGCATACATGAACATCTCTTTAGTTTCCCAGCAGATACCTCCGAAAATCGACTGCTGGGGAAGGACTCGCCTTGGGTGTTTTTTACGGCGAGATATTAGCAATGTTGTGGAATGTAGGTGGCTCGGGTGCGCTGTTTGGTTGTTGGTCTGTTAGCCGAGCTTGGCAGTTGGATTGCGTTTCATTGATCTGGACGGGTAGACCTGGGCCGTAGACAATTGTTGGAGTCTGAAAAAGCCACCAGGCGCAAACTTCGCGAAGAAAGTTCTTCCAGTCAACAGCGGTCATGTGGCTAATCGATAATTCCTCTGAGCAGAATTGGATTTTTGCCAAATTCTTGGATCAGCAATAAATGAATAGAAGTACTGTTCTAAACTCCATCCTAGACCGACCCAGCCAAGCCCCTTTCGAAGAACGACTTCTTGTCGTCACTGTCGGGCATTACACCACCTGTCAGAAACAGTTGAAAGTGTCATTTGGTGGCCATTGTTGCATAAACGTTGCTGATGGATCGCCCTGTGGCTTTTAAAAAAAACTTAATGCCGTCTCCTTGTCGTGAACAAGAGCTGAAGGCGTCAGAAAGTTCATTTAAGGTTTTACTTCCGAACGAAGAACATTTTTGCACAAAATGAGCCTAGATGCGGATAAGGAATTGTCTTAATAAAAAACAGACCAACGTTGTGTGCGTGCATCAAATTGTAGCTGGTAAAAAGTGGTGGGACTTAACATTCCGTGCATTCACTTTTTGAATTAGTGGCGGGGCTTATCTAGGAAAAATCCAACTGATCTATTGATTTCACTTTTGGCTGGACGGTTGGTAAATCTGGTTCATCGGGACACCACGCCGAAAGGTTCATAGGTCCAAAAATGTCTTACCCCCAAGGTAAAAATCAGTCACGTATATTTTAAAAGCCTGGTATACAGACAAGAAACCTCGTTGCGTACAGGAAGCTGTTTAATGCCGCAGTAATGATAAAAAATGAACCAATACTATAGAAGTGGAGAGCAGCGATCAAGTCCAGTCGCAACCCATTAGATGGTGTTTGCCAACACTACCAATCGCAGGGGCACATCTTGAGGTCCAACTGCGTCATCACAGACCAGCTTATGGTGACACAAAAATGGTGTCATTCGGTGGAAGGTAGTTTCGGCATTGAAAGAAAGCCTTGCTTAAAGTGGGTGGATAGCTAGTCTGTCAGGGAACAGAGCATGATTTAAAGTTTGAATTTGAGCTTCTCAGCGACCTAGACAATTTTAATTAAACTTCAAAGCCACGAGATGTAGCGTGGATGTCCGGGTACATAATGAGACACTGAACAAAGTGAACCGATTAGTGGATATTAGTGCTCATCAGCTTAATTCCAGATGCATCCTTCTGGACATGCTCTGATTGTGTGAACCTTCAACTCTGTTTAGAAGGTTTTGCGGAACAGTATCATCCAAATGGATGTGAACTCTCCCAGAGGATGAGAAATTGCAAAATGGTATTGCCAGGATTTCAAGCTCAAGATCTTATGACGGCAAATGTGGGCGATTTTCTGATGTTTGAAGATAACAAATTTAAAGCCTGTAAAGTTGAAAGCTAGAGAGCCACTGCTATGGTTACGGGACGGGCTTAGCTCCAATTAGGAAATGCTGCCTGAAGTTACCTTTGCAACATGGAGAACACTCGAAGCCATTTTAGTGAAAAACCGTTTACCCCACATCTGCTCCCTGTTTACCAAGTTATTGAGGAACACGATTGCTTTTTATATGTTGGCTCACCTAGATTAAACTCCCCACCAACCTGGACTACCCATATATGTTGTTCCTCTTGCTATCAGTCTTAGGTGAAAGGTAGTTTTACTCTGGATTTATGCCGGCATAGCTGAAGACTTTTCTACTTCCTGCGCACGCTATTTGTAGCAACAGGTTTTCTAAAGTCCTGTTGATTGGTAGCACTCAACTCTGCATAGTACTTATGGACTCATATTGTGCCGGCCAATTTTCAAATGAAATTAGCTGACAGAGATAAGGTTTCATGCTTGACCATTCATATTAGTTACGGATGAGTCTTTCTCACCGCGAATTTCATTGACCACTCGTGACTTATCACTGCTCATGACCTTTAGCGTGTTTTCTAAACGGTCAGTCCGCTATCGAACTACACACAGTTTTGTGTAACTTTGGTTAACTCAGCATGCGAACAGTCGGCTGTCAGGCAGGCAAGCTCAAAAGTTGTCTTGTGGAGTAATGGTAACATTAGTTGTAATGCTGGAAATCAAGCCCCAGTAAGCTACCTGTCACTTGGATCGATTAGGTTACAGTGACTGTAATACCACAGAAATGCAGTTTTACACGACTGAGGTTACCCGGTAAGATAACCGGTATATTGAGGCCAGTGAAAGAACTACGTCGGCAACAAATTTCAGCTTTCGTGATATGACACATAGGTGGCATTAGCATAGAAACAAGGTGAACGAATCAAAATGGTTGCAGCCTTGTCAAAATTACACAGGCATCAATGCCGCAATCAACAAACGGTGCGCAAATTGAAACGCACGCCCAAAGTTAGAAAGGTGTGTTGCAAAACGTAGAAGAGACGTAAATCTATCGATAAACGCCCAAGCTCACCGACCGGAATATATACTGCCAATTAGTAAAAGCCGAGAAACACAAACAGTTTCTCTGACGTAAAGCAAGGGGAAAGTAAAAAAAGATGACGCAAAAGCGAAAAAACAACCGAAAGTGAAACAAATACCCAAGAAAGGAAAAACAGTAGTATGGAGAAGCTTGCGGAAGTTCAGATAGTCTCGGATCAGTTTCTTTAATAAGCACACCTAATATGGTCTGGGGAATTTCGAACGAAATGAACAATAGTGTGCAACGAAGGTCAAAGCAGTAAAGTAGGTGCTTTTTACGTTCATTTTCGTCTATTTATCGCGCAACAAAAGTGGACCGAGTGGAAGAGTGAGAAGGAGAGCGATTGAGAAAGCAAGTTGGCAAAAATAGTGTACACTAATAGGCTTTTCGACATCTTTGAATTCGTCAAATTTAAGTTCAATGCTCTCGTTCTCTTCTTGTGGAATTCATTGGGAAAATAAACCGACAGACACAGCCGTAAAAGAATGCAGTATATTAGTGGTACTGGAAAAAATGGACAGAACAGTTTTAAGAAAAACCAATTCACGAAGTTTTTGTCGATTGCTTTATCTTTTCCAGCTTTTCAGGGAACGCTCCATGCTGCACACCAATGTAGGGGACCTCGCCGGACATCAGACGTTGTGGTGCCTCTAACAGGTAGGTGTAGACTAGAGGAAGCGTAACAGCTTGGCTCGGTTCGACCACCGCGGCATACAGATAGAATTTGAAGAAATGATCAGCTTTTGGAATCCGGATAAGATATGTTATACGTTCATAGTCTTGAGCCATAGAATCTTCGGGCTGCTCAACTTGTTGCAGGAGATAGGATGTGCAATCCTAAAATCAATTTGGAAGTGGGAAAGAAAAGTTTCATGTTGTCGAGTATAGGTAAATTATACTTGAAATCTTACGCAGTTTATTGTGCATCCGACGGAACTGGGTTGTAGTTGGTAAAGAAAGTCCCATTTACGGATTGGGAAGAAGCTAGTGAAGTCCCATAAAAGTGAAAAAGAGAACTACAGCAGGTGTTTGCGTTTTCATTAATAACGGAATAACCAGCTAGGAGAATATTTTATTGTTCAAGTAAACAAAGAGTTTCTCAAATCAGCTGATCAACTGAACGCAACGGAAGAAAACCACAAAGTGACACAAATCCTTGATGCACAACAAGAATATGAAAACAATGACCTTTTAGACGGTTAATCACATTAGCCACCATCTAATACTCTTGAAAAACCATGAAGTTCTAAGGGGAAAATAAAAATAGCTACCAAAACATATCTGAAATGTCTTTTTCATGTTTGGGAACTAACCAACCAGTAGATGCATCAGAGCTACTGGTGAGAAGAAGGAGGCCCTTGCTGCGGAGTTATTTGTTGGAAAAACGCCACTGACCGGTTACAGACCATTGGACAATGAAGCAACACTCTCATTTGCATCTTATTTACAAAAACTGGAAACCCATCTTCTACTGAACGTGTCTTCTTGAACTTTCCTGGATATTCATCGACCTCAATCATTCATCGCTCAAATCCAAGCAAATGTTACAAAGCGAATCCACAAATTCCGCAACAGATCTCCCCTTTTCAATAGACGCAAATCGAAATTCCAAGGACAACACATACTACTCACGTGCCCCCTATCAGTAGTATCACCGTTACACCGGTATTTGAGCACATTAAGAAAGCAAACAATACAAATCGATGAGGCAGCCACATATTGGCTGCAAAGCCTACGTGTCACCTTTCCCAAGGAGGAGGAAACTTTGTTCTAGGCATGAAAAAAACCATTGGCTTTGTAAACTATCAGTAATAATATCATTTTGTCGGTCAAAAGATGTCGTGGCAACTATGGAATGTATACGGAAGGCTGGTAATTTAAATATTTGAGGAATCCTGGTATTTGACTTAATGAAAAATACATCACAGATCTACTGGATTGGCTTAGTTCCAAAACAGAGTTTCCACCACAGATTCATTGATTTGTCCACGTATCACGTCCCTGGGTTGGAATGCGACTTCTAGGTCTGGTCGTATGTTTATCCAGAGGATGGAGATATGCGTAAGTCATCATTTGGTAGATAACTCGGTCCATAGTTTTATCCATTTCGGTGTACGTGACGCATTTTACGAGAGTAGCTTCTAAAATTGTCATTCCTCAGAATGCATTGTATGAATTATAAAGCTATCAAATAAACTAAGGATTTTCATGAACTATGGAATACAAAAACCTGCCAAAAAATTTAACTCAGACCAATTATGCGAATTGGTCTATCCCGCATTCCTTCCTACCACACATATTTCTGGTTCCATACTCGTGATGCAGTGCACCGTTCATAATAGGAACCGCCTGGCTATGTGGGCATACTAGAGACCACCGAGGGCATTATACACCGAACCGAACTATACATAAAAATGCGACTTACTAGAGATTCCTGATTACCACACTCTCCTTAAATCTGTGGAAAACGGAACTATCAAACTAACCTATTATCAGTTTTGCCGACAATAGACAGTGCTCACTTGGTAAAATTTAGCCGCTGCATCATAAATTCATCAACCGTTTGATCCACTGCGGCTCGTGAATGTTCCCTTAACTTAGGCAAGAATGGTTCCAACTACATTTTAAGAGAATACATTGTGCTCAAACCGCGATCAACCAAGGAATGTTGTCCCCATTCCGTGTCACCGCCTTTACCTGACTGTGTGTGAGTAGCCTCAACCAACCCGTTACAGTTCTGTTTAATCAGTGCTTGATCTGCGGAGAACTATCTGGAGAATAGCCAAGAGGACTACAGTACGTAAACAAAGGATGTGAAATATTGAACGATTGCCGGAAAAAACGCATAAAAGACGTCTGTAAGTATACTGTTATCTAATTTAATTACCACTCAGATGGCTAACGATACAGACCACATTGTGTGGTACAGACCACTGACACCCCGGACACTACAATCGACGCAGTCACAGTGCAAGAACAGAACGACTAAGACGATGGGCTACATAAATATCTTTGGTAAGTTCAGCTTGTCAGCAGTAGACTCAACGAACAACGTACACATGACTATTACGCTAACCGACCCAAGTTCACATGTCTAAAAAACCCAATATTCTCATAGCTATCAAGACGGAAAAGCGCTTTACCATAATCTCTTTGTCCCGCATTAAGACCGGCTATCTGTTAATCCTTCTGTTGGTTTAAGTAAATCCGTGGTTTGGCGCGAGTGTGAAAGCTCAAAAGCTAATAAGTAACCGGACTGAGTGAACCCGTTTGGTGGCCCTACCGGTGACCTCAATGTTTCGGAATATTAAGATAGTGTTTGCTTACTCACTTCAGAAAGCTTAATCAGGACCTTGTTAGAAACTCACAATTACCTGTTGTTGTTGTGTCTTCCGAGATTCGCTGATATGAACTAACTCAGGGTTAACCTAACTTCAATAGTCTCAAATGATCGCCCTCAAATCCAAAATGTTTTTTAAACAAAGTTATTTACGCTGTTTTACGCTGTAAGTGCAAGATCTCCATTTATCTTGTTAAATTAAATTTTAAACACCCGATTAAATTCGCTGCTCTTTTGACATATACCTAGAACTTCGAGGGAACATTCGGTTCTCTGGAGTGAGGTAAGTTGACCAGTTCTTTAGACATAGTGGAATCCTAATGAGTTTTGGCTAGCCTCAATGTCAGAGGGCACTCTGTCATCTTCAGTAACTGCACTCGGAAAATTCACCCTACTTGCAACTCTCTCTTTCTCTGTTGGCCAATCCACTTTTTGCACACCCTCAAGGTACGAATCACCTCCTATGAGAATTTTCACTTACCGGAATTCTGTGATTAGCTGTATGGCAGTACAGGCCACACTGGATCTAAAGCGTTGCCTGATACCTTACCATCACATCCGGTCGTCCAAATCACCCACCTTTTGAAGTGCACAAAAGTATGTTTGTTTTGGTCAAACTTGTCTAGGATTTTGTGCACAATCTACGCCGTCCGACAACAACGCATGAAACCAGTGCCCAAAAGCTTGATACAGGGCTCATGTCATCCTTAAACCAGCTGCTAGCTTTCAGCAGGCAGTGTGTTTTATCTCTTACCTCCGCTATGTTATATTTTCGGTGTTACACGGGATTTGTGCGTTTACAAGTGTTAGCAAGTCCGACTCCGTGCAGATCACACACAGCATTGTTGCTACGCCGAATCGTCCGGCGACTCAGTCATTGTTCATAGACTAATCTGCACAGGATAACACCCAACTATATATACCTGCCACAACCAAACGCTAGAACTTATGGAAGCTGTTAACTTGTGGGCATTTGTATGAAGAAAATCCGTTTCTCAAGGTAAATGCTACTCTTCCTGCAGTTTAGTGGGAGGATGATGTTAGTAATTACTTTTTTGTGGTCATCTCTCGTATAACTCAAGTAGCTCATTTAATTTAAAAGGGTCCGCAATTCAACGGATGTATTCTGAGTTTCGAAGCCGTTCACTGATAGGATGTCAAGGTATACTTAATAATATTTATCTCAGCTCCAAGCTACTCACCAAAGGAAACGGAGCTTTAATTGCACACCACATTTTGGCGTGGAATGAAGCTCAACCCGTTTTGAATAAACATGCAAGGTTCCTACATATGCTTCCGATATTAGCTTTGATAGGTTTGATAATGACCGAAGAGACCAGCAAATTTCTACGCTTTCAAAAAGCCCGGCCAAGTATCTTACAGTTTGGTTTCATGAGGCGCTGAACAATTTTCTACCTTTTTGTCAAGTCAGTTAGCTGAGGCTAACTCCAACTTTTTGTAGATAAAGTTACCGTACTGCTCAGCCAGGTGAACCATGTGTCTGTCTGCTATCCCGGTTTGGTAAAATTAAAAGACACGTTTAGGCACACGTACGGGTCACACACAGTTATAAAATGGACACAAATCTGCCCCCACCCTTAGAGACTGAAATTCAAAGACGACTAAGGTGAAAGCTAATATAAGTACTTGGCAACAGATTCAGGCAACAGATTCAGTCTGCTCATCAGATCTGAATGAATTCTGTTCACGTTTTTCGGAGTGATTAGAATAGGTGCCAATCTAAATTTTGATACAAAATCAGGGTATTCCTATTTTTCGCGGTCTTTGTGGCTTGGAAGACAACATTTAGATCATCCCAATTCTAGTCAATCATGCCAATTCAGGCTACCGTATCACGCGAAGCCACAGTAAAAGTAAAACGGGACGATTTATTTACAAAAAAGAACAACTTTCTAACCAACCTCTTCTTCTGCTTCGTTGATATCAACCAAGTGGCCAACCATGTATGGCTTAGTTCTTGTAGACCTTTCTAGCACGATTTTTAGGTCACAACTACGAGGACCAACAGTTTCGTCGTCGAGCTCTCCTGAGTCTCCGGCTGCGTCCTCTGGCACCTTCAATGCGCTCGTATCTGAATCATGTGACACTGGTCCATCCTTCTCGCGGTCCAACTTTTCTGACTGATTTACAAACTCCCGCATCACCTCACTCTTGCTTCGGGTCTTTGTTAAACCTCGAGCTCCTTTGGTTGGGACGTGAATTAGCGGGTCCGGGTGACTGACTGTCCTCAGGCCAAGAGTAGACCACGTTGAATCTGTGGACCCAAGAGTCACAGTGGCCAAGTGTTTTCGGACAGCAGGAGAGAGTTTGATTCCACAGTCCGCGTCAATCAGCAACTGCCATACCTGCTCCGATATAAGATGGGACGAAATGGATTTTTAACATCCAAAGAGTAGTTCAACGGACAGAAGAAAATAATCGAGATTTATTTGCATGAAATCCAGTGGAGAGATGTGACGAGATTCGGGAAAAATCCCGAAAAGATTTGTGATCCATTTGGCTGTCAGTATTTGCGCTGTTTTTGTCAAATTTTTAGTAACTTGAAAGCTACAGCTCGGTAACGACCAACCGAATGAGAATATCGTGGTGTAGAAAAGTTCAGCGCTTATTATTTTAGAAAAACTGTGAAGAAATGCAATTCATCCGTCAATGATCGGGCTGTTTATCCCTCAAAAGCATGTCTACGTGATAAACATCAAGAAGGGCGGAGTGTTAAAGGGGTTTTAGCAATTTTTTTAAAAAAAAAAAGCTTTTAATTTTCCGGGTCCATTCATCGCATTCAAGTCACACGCTAAATCCCATAAATTGGCATTTACAGTAACATCATTCAGACCAATCAAGAGTGCATGTATTGGATGAAAATCAGTTTGAGACAAGGGCTAGCCCTTTTATTTTACTCAACTTGGAGTGGATTTCTGAGGGAGGATTTTCAAATAGCTTGTGAAAATTTTGTTAGAATTTGCACGTTAAGCATTCCGGACGATTAACAGGTGCCTGAATTGAGCCACCACTTTCGAATTAGTTAAACAGCCTTCGAAAACAAAAAGACTGTGTACAGATTCTACGGGACTTTTCACATGAAAGCAAACTATTTTTGTTTGATTCTGTTTCCGAAACACTGAAAAATGTATTTGAAGTAGCTTTGGGATGCATAGACAGATGAGATAGAATGCGCTTACTGGAATTATCTCGTTAAGCTGCCAAACTCACAAACGGTAAGTTTTCCCGTCATTTTCACACAGCAAACTCAACCTTTGATAATTGCATTTTTTTCTCGGCTATGATAAAATAAAAAGTCGAAATGCTGATGACTACAGTCTGGGAGCCATTAGCCGCACAGCTGCTCTTAGTTGCAAAACCCCCGCGATTGAAGTAAAGCCTTTTGCGCCAAAATGTTGCCTTGTGTTGCGCGTGCGCTCAAACCACAAACCATCCTGATCTACATTCATATTTTTGTAGCTCACCGAATTTCATTGTCCGCTGAAGCAATCATACCTCTAGTAGGAGAAGTCTGGCGGAATAATTTCCCAGCCTCGCTGAGAGCCCGGGATGCTTAGAATGGGCTCAAAAGTTCGGACTGGTACTCTGAACTCAGTTGTTTGATTGCCTTAGTCCATCAGGGACACATCGTAGCTTTCGAAAACTTAATTCCATTGTGCCAATACTAAGTGCCCTACCGAATGGATTGAAAACTCGGCTTTTGAAAGCAGTTGATAATGAGGAAACTTCTGGGTGGGTTTTGATGGACCCCATGAACACACAAAATTCTCAGGCTGGACATAATCATGTCACCAAAGATGTGAGGTAATACGCTGGCTCACCGTGATACAAACGCTGGGTAAGAGACGGCCCCAAATTCAACAATTAAAAATGTTTGGTTCAAAGAAATTAGGAACAACCAGCTCCATTTTTAATTACAGCTTTCAAAGGAATCAACTTTGGAGCCTGATAATTGTTGAGTCCCTTGTGAAGATTGAGAGAAGGTAGGAATTAGTAGTCAGAAATTGAACAAATTCGGCGAATGCGCTAGACCAAGAAAAGTTAGTCTTGAGGATATTTTTTCATGATGAAACTCATGTATTAATTTGCTCCCTAAAGAAGGCTTTTCATGCAAAATACACAACACACTAAGACCAGTTAAAACACCGGTATTATACGTATATACCTACGACCAACTATGTTCGCTCGCATTGGAATACGTGAATAGGAAAGATCGACATGAAGCGCGAAATATAGTATTAAAGGTCTAAAGAATGTTTTAAACTGTTAAATGATTATTACTCAACTCATCCTGAATTTAGGTCAAAACGTCGGTTGTCAGACATCTAATCCACAGAGGATATGGAGATAAAATTGTCCCAAACCATTCCAACGAACAACAATCCAATTAGACAAAGATCCTGGAGGTTACTGTGGCAAATTAATTCAAGTCTGGCATCTGTGCCTAGAACGTTGTGCGGATAACTCCAAGGATTCCTTGGTTTAACAGATTAATCACGTTTTCCCAGAGCTAGATAAGAAATGTCACTTGATTTGTAATCCTTATCTCTTATCTCACTTTATTTGTTTTCCGACAGGAGTGAATTCATCTTGAAGCAATGTAGTGGTCACTGTGTTGCTAAAGCTAACCCTACTGTCACAACAAAAGAAATCTCGAATGCTAGCGTAGTGTCACTTTATAAATGTAAGGATTAACACACACATAAAGTACTGACCATTCATGTATTTCCGACAGTCGGCCCATGAGTCCATTGCGCCCAAATGATGCTTTATCAACAAGCATCAAAACTGCATATATTTCCAAATTAGGATGTAAGATTCACGATGAGCCTGGACACTGGCGTGCGACCTCTCTAGGGCGGTACACACACAAATAATGCCCTTCTTTACGGGTTTAATGAAAGAGACACGCTTGACTATCGTTGCTTATTCTCCGAACACGGTGGATATGAGATTTTCAGTTTTGAAAGGCAAGTATGGCACATTTGTGATACGAAACAGTATGCTGTGACAGTACATGACTAGTCGTCCGAATAATCCAAATGAAGTACCATTATCTTCAACCAGCTGCTTCTCCAGAGAATACTTATGGATGACTTCCCGCACTGATTCGATTTTCAACGCGGGGAATTTTGAAAACGAAATTGTGACAGAAGTTTGAGCAAAAGGTGGCTTGGGATTACGTTATCGGAATTCACTCGGTGTTGAACAATCCAAACAAAACCTGGTTTTTTGTGATCTTCCAGTGGTTCCATTAGAATACCTTAGGTTGATGCTCCCGTCAGTTGCATGTCGGCTTGAGGGCAGTATCCGAGTATCCAGTAGCGTTCTAATTCTACATAGATATCCATAACTGGCAGCGAGGCCTCAAGTCTGATTTTTCGGGATTCTGTCAAATTCAGGCTTCAAGCTGAATTCTTTTGAAAAGACGTGCAACGGGTTTTATCCCATACGACGGCATAAAACACTCATTACTATGTGATTCTCATATAAATCGCCGGAGAATGAATATGCATCTGACCTAAGTGAGCTTTGTCGAGGTCAGGCGTGATCGATGTCCACTGATCGTGCTGAATTTGTCACGCTGGTTTGTCACGCTTTCGGTGAGATAGCCTGTCCGTACTGACGCCGAAACCTGTGATTTGTGAAGTTATACGTGATTACCAACACTTTAGCAATGGTACTAAATAAAAAACGTTTAACATATATTCAGGGTAGTTGTCTGCGATGGTTCAATGAGTCGTTAGTTTGAAACGATGTTGCCATCGTAAGTTTGTGCTTGTAAACAATGCGTAATACAACGGTGGGGAGATGGAACAGATTTGACGGCTGCATCATCTAGTCACAGAGAACAGGCCAGGATAAAGGGTGGGTAAATCTGTCTTATCAGGGATCCTTCTGATTCCTGCCCTTTGGTCTGTTTATAAAAAAGCGATTAGTTCCCTTGCAATAGATTTGTGGGCTCCAGAATGATACCCATAAGACATTCCCACGATCGGCGATGGTGTTGACAATCGCCAGCAGACATTAAAAAGTTGATTGGTGTTTCTTAGGATCGCAACTTTGACGGATTTTACCCGGCTGGGCGAAAGCGTTAGCAAAACAGACATCATCGCACCAAATACCAATATATATGATCTCCGCATAAGCCGAACGACATGATTTTTAAAGTCGTCAAATGAGTAGCCAGTCAATATTAGATCGTGCTTCTGCCGGCCGAAAGGGGGACATTGTCATACAAGGTCCAAGTGAAAGATAACAGCTGACCAGCTCCAGTAATGGGAAGTTAGATTGTGTAACTGGTACTTGAAAAGTTGTGCGTTTGAACTGCACCTGGGAGTTGTACTGATTTTACCAGAGGATCATTGATTATGTATTGCAGGGTCAAATTTCAAATGAAGAAGAACAGAGGTAGTTCATTTCACCGACGATACCTGCGGAATATAAACACAGAGAATCGAATGATTTACACACATCTGAAACAAGCTCAGTACTTCCATAGAGGAAACATCACTGAAGATATGTCAAACTTTTGGAGACTGCGTGAATATCTGCTCTGTTCTTCAGTAGGTCCGCATGGGAGGACGGTAAAGCTCATAATAATCCCCGACTTGTTTACTCTCACCATACTAGCTACATTAAAAACTTTCATTAGGAAGATGAAAAATCAGATTTGCTCTGCGCCGTGAGGGCCAATGTTGAGCAAACAGACGAGAACAGCGACCGACCAAGTTAGGAATAAGCATGCTATGGGGCCATCCGGAGGAGTTGAGGACAGTATGATGTTTTCCCCAGGTGACCGTTATTCCACTGTTGTGAAAGCAGCGATACCTTGCTCACCTCAGGAAGGAGGGGTTAGAAATTCTCCTCAATGAATTCCGCAAACTTCAAGCGCCCAAAGGATGACTACCTGCCTTCGAAAAGCCAAGAGCCCGGTGAGGTTCGGAACATAGCTTATGTGTGCCTAGTATTGGAATTATTAAACGTTTGCTTGCTGTCTGATTTCCCGAGATAAGCCAGCCCCCAGGGTGAGGTGAATGAGATCTTCGGGTCTATGACTTCCAAAAAGTTTACTCTGGAACTCCTACTACTCACATTCCTGTTGGTCAGACTAGGGCTCTGAAGGCTAAATACCTGCACAAAGTAAACAGTATTAAAAACTCTGATAAAACAAAGTTATCTTGCTTAAGGAGGTTTATCACTTGACAACTTAATCTTTGCACCTGAAACGTCAAATTTCATTGGATAAGAAGAATAGCGACAGGGCTAGGAGGTGCACAGCGCTCGTTGCTAAGGGGCTCAAAGAATCTGGTAATGACGCTACGGCGTTAAAAGGAACCAGATT